TCAAATAAACGTGAGAGTGAGAGTTGCATGGTTGATTTTTAATTTAATCTTGTAAAAATGCAATTATTTTCCCTATCAGAAATAAGTGGTTTGCTTTAAAATTGTTAAAGACTTACAGACCAAGTGAATAATTCAGCTTTATTACGTTCTATAAATAAATTGTGATGGAGTAGTACATTTTCTGTTTCATTCTCATATAAAGAATGCAACATTTTCTCAGGTTTCAGGGCAACGCAAAGCAAGAGTTCCCATATAAAAGGGCAGAACTTTTGTTGAGAAAAGAAAACGCTATTAGTTAACCCTTTTTGAACAGAATTTAGTATGTAGTGCTAACTTGACACCATGCACCATCGACGACAGAATTGAGATATTGAAAAGGATATAACGGAATTAATTGTAGCTTTTTTGTTGTAAATTTGTTGTGGAAAGAAGCTACACATTTTTTCTTTTCGCAACAATTTNTCGTTTTTTAAGAAAAAATGGTATGTAGTGCTAACTTGACACCATACACCTAGTCGATAGAATTGAGATATTGAAAATGTTATAACGGAATTAATTGTAGCTTTTTTGTTGTAAATTTGTTGTGGAAAGAAGCTACACATTTTTTCTTTTCGCAACAATTTTTAAAGATAAAAGCTACAATTAATGGCATAGTAACATATTGGATATCTCAATTCTATCGACTAGGTGTATGGTGTCAAGTTAGCACTACATACCATTTTTTCTTAAAAAACGAGAGCTACAAATTTTTTCTTTCCACAACAAATTTTAAAGCTAAAAGCTACAATTAATGCCGTTATAACATTTTCAATATCTCAATTCTATCGACTAGGTGTATGGTGTCAAGTTAGCACTACATACCATTTTTTCTTAAAAAACGAAAGCTACAAATTTTTTCTTTCCACAACAAATTTACAACAAAAAAGTTAGAATTACCATTTTTTCTTAAAAAACGAAAGCTACAATTTTTTTCTTTCCACAACAAATTTTAAAGTTAAAAGCTACAATTAATGGCATAGTAACATATTGGATATCTCAATTCTATCGAATAGGTGTATGGTGTCAAGTTAGCACTACATACCTTTTTTTCTTAAAAAACGAGAGCTACATTTTTTTCTTTCCACAACAAATTTTAAAGTTAAAAGCTACAATTAATGGCATAGTAACATATTGGATATCTCAATTCTATCGAATAGGTGTACGGTGTCAAGTTAGCACTACATACCATTTTTTCTTAAAAAACGAGAGCTAAAAATTTTTTCTTTCCACAGCAAATTTACAACAAAAACACTACAATTAATGCCGTAGTTAACTTTTCCAATTTCGAAAAGTGTAGTGCTAACTTGACACACGTTAGTTTTATTGGCGTTGAAGAACACCTAAAAGACACCTAATTCCTGCATATATCCATCCCATTGGTCATTACAACTTTTTCTAATTTCGATGGCATTATTTAAACTAAACATATATACAGTACTGCAGTTAGTACATATTAATAATATAATAATACATTGGCGCTTACATAATATGTATGTAGCTACTGTTTTATGCCCACTCCGAACGGCGATTGAAGCAGTAACTGCAGATCTACCATGCTGAATATTATTATAGCAGTTAACAACTGATGAACATTCATCAGCTATCCACTAAAAAATTCTAAAATGCATGAACTACTTAAAAGCGTTTTGGGTAGAGCTTAATTTGCAACATTGTATTTTTGTTGGCTTGTTTGACTTGTTGCTTTAGAGAAAAAAACCGGGAAATTTTTGATTTCGTTCGACAGCCAGTAAAGTTTTTTCTCATTTATTTTATTTCAGAACACAAGATCATCTCCAGTTAAAAGGTCATACGATGCGACCGACTTTCATATTTTTTATTGCATCACAATATCTCGTGTAAAGATCTTAAGTATGTGAGTAAAAAAACGTGAAGGGGGAGCTACATATGTACATATTCATAAACTGTATTGGCCATTGAATTTAGTTCACTCGCGAGCGACATGTTCAATAAGAAATCAATAGGGGTAATTCGCTCTTTTGTGCATTCGTTGTATCTTGCGTAAGTGTAACTGAATGGGCGTTTGATTTGTTGTTGTTAGAGGTACAATAAATACATTTGCAACAAGAATCACACGCTCATCTAGTTACACTTACACAAGATATAACAAATACACAAAAGAGCGAATATCCACAATGATTTAATTGCATTCGTTGATTGCCCTTTCCTTTTATTAAAAAAAAAATATTAGAATGGATTTTGGATGCTCTAGAAAAAAGTAACCGCCATTCACTTTGGAAAGTATTTGTGAGTAATGCCGAGGAATTGTGACTTTATATCTCCTTCAATTTATGTGCTGCCAAAAAATGTATTTATTGTAGCAAATGGAAAACGTGATTTTCATAACAAATTGATCGCAGCAACAAGCTAACTAAATGAACAAAGTTGCAAAGTCAAATCGCTGCTTCAGCGAAACCAAGGTAGGTCAGAGTAGACAGACTACGGGAAAATGAAAATTTTTGAGCAACACAAAAATAAAGAAAGTAAAGCATTGAGCGCAGCATCATGATGGCTTTCAAATGTTGATTTTTTTAGTTTTACAATTACTGCCTTTCCTGGGTTTTGTACTTATGCGGCCACAAATGACACGAGTTGTAAATTTATGATGCCGAATATCAATGAAAAATAAAAAAATAAACATAAACATAAATAAAAATAAACATGAAAATAATGACTCCGATGTTGTTCTATAACTTTTAAGTACGAATTTCTGGATGCATAGTAGAATTACGGAGAAAGTATGTGCAAAGATTTGGCTTCGAAAATCCTGTAATCCTGATACACAACATTAATACATATTTACGTATGTATGTGTTAATTAAAAAGAAAATTCTTAGTTGTAAAAATTATTTAAGCAACAGAATTTATTACTCGTATTTCAAAATTATTTTAACGAACTTGGAAACTGATTCGGGTTTTCTGTTTTATTCCAGAACTTCTTCAGACTTCATCGTTTACGAAAATTGGGTCTAAGTGATAATGAGATAGCTCGATTACCTCCAGATATTCAGAATTTCGAGAACTTAGTAGAACTAGATGTTTCACGAAATGGTAAGTTTCTTCTTAAGATATAAAAGCTGTTCCAAAATTTACGCAAGATTTGAATTAAATAGAACACACACACACAGTTTTTCAAATATGCACCTCGGTAAAATGATCGCCACGTATTTATTGGAACATGCGCACTTCGACGAAATTGTCCTCATTTTCAAAAAAAAAAAAGTGTAGTCCTTTGACGACTTAATTTTAAAATCCGCACCAAACAGTGGCACGTTGTGGCTGCATTTGTTTTCTGACACTCACATGTGGGTTCTCTAAACCCATCATCGCTTAGGATGATTTTTATCCAAAAATCAGTATTCTCTTTTAATGTTATGTATGTGTCAGCAAAGCCTATTTTCTATTCATTAAATAACCGTAGCTTAATTACTTTATGTTTTAGAAGTACATACAATGGAAAAAAGCTATGTTATCCATTTGATTGAAATCTTGCGTAAATCCTTTACATAAGTAATGCACGCCCAAGGCAGAGTCAATTCTATTACTATATCCATTATATGTTTCAGTTATTATTTAGTTTTGTTCACGGGGAATTAACTGAAGTGCTTGTAGTAAAAAAGCATATGATTATATTCCTCACTAAAAGCTACATACGTAATAGAATTATGCAGCTCCTAATAAAAATAATGTTTTGATAAAATTCGCAACTGAAGAACTTCAGATTTTAACAATTCAAAAGTATTAAGAATTGAATCCAAGTAATTGACACGTTTTTCACATTCTTTTATTTCTTTTATAGGGTTTTCGATTATTCGCCGTTTTTAAATCCTGACCAAAATAACAATATTTTCCTGTTAAAAATAGTTATAGCTTTTATACACTTAGGTCTCTTTTTATGTGACTTTTTTATGCGGATTTGAATTTATGCGGTTTTTCAAATCATTATTTCGCAGTAGCGATTTTTAGTCTGTTCCAATAGCAGTCCGGTTTACAGAATTTAGTCAGAACTTACAGGAAGTCGTTCCTATTGACATAAAACCTGTAAATGGGAACACATTTGAGAGAGTAACTGAGCAACTGTTCCTAGTCAGAAGTTACAGGATTTAGTCCGGAGATTTTTTTCCTGTAAGTTCATGAAAAGTGTCAAACGATCAGCTGATTTACATGTGCAAACAAAAACAGAAAGCGGTGAAAGCAAAGAACCTTATATTTGTTATAAAATGGAAGTAAACAACGAAATATTTAAATATGTATAGATTTTATTAATTATTTAGTGATATTTCAGCCAAATCAGTGTAGTGCCAATGACATGTAAACAAACGTCTGACGTTTTTACAGGAAATAGTGCTTTTTGCGTTCCTATGCACTTCTGCATCTGTTCTCCTTTTACTCTCATTTGAGAGCGTAAAATTGTAGTTTGACAGTTCCACAGGTTTTAGTCCGAAGTTCAAAGGAACAGACTATTTGTTTTTTTGAGGGTTTTTATTATCTTTTTTCAGTGTGTAGGAGGCAATGCTTCTGATAAATAATTTGTCTTTGTATTCATACATAATTCATGTATTTATTGTGGTATTTTTTTTTTTTTTTTTTTTTTTGGTTAAAATCCAGATACAATTTTATTTATTTCATTAAAGTTCAGTTTTACATGGAATAATAAGTGTTGAAGTGAAGAAATAAATAGTTTGTTTTGCTCAATAATGCCTCACTGAAATTTTTTATGCGGATTTTTAGGATTTTTTACATGGAGTATATGAATTTATGCGGTTTTTGAAAATACTGGAACGCATCCCCTGTTTTTGTATGAAAGTAAATAACTTTTTTATGCGAATTTTTTTTATGCGGCTTTCTTGAGGAACGCATGTACCGCATAAAAAGAGACCTAAGTGTATAGAAATCAATAAGACAAAATACGAGTAAGTTTTAAGTATTTTGGATTAGAAGTAAAATAGAAACATGTCATTTTCAAGAAAAAAACAAAACCGACTTCAAATCTCATAAAATTTTTTTTTCCTTCGTGATCCAATGTTCTCATCTATGTCAATCAAATTAATAGAGGACCACCTCTGAGGCATTAGCGCACACAAGGGGTGGGTTTTGGGGTTCAGACCCCCCCCCCTAAAGCTAATAACCTCAAATACAAACTGTATCTTAAAGCTAAGAATCCAGATCTCAAGGAAATTATAAGAAATATTAATTATAATTTCTGTTGCCTGAAAAAGCGCTTTGCTTTTGCTGTAAATTTCTATGAGGAAATAAATATACGAGCATTTTTTTCTAGAGAGCTGCAAACTGATTTAAGAAATTTTGGTAGAAGAAAATTTCTTTTCCATTTCTCGTCCGTCGTTTTATATGAATTTTTCGTTTTTCTTGAGAGTTCAGTTAATTTCTTCGGTATTCGAAATATTAAAAAAATTTAGCAATCGTGAAAACTCACCATCTCTATCGAAAACCAGGAACCAGAAATCGAAAAACTGAACATAAAAGTGCAAAAATTTATGGAATCAATAAATTTATTTTTACTGACTCTTTTAACATTTTTTATTAGGTACTTTTAAAAGTTGAGCGCATCTTGAGTTTATAGAACTTTTTATTAAACAAGTAGTTTTTAAGGAAAGAACACAACTGACTTCAAATTTAGGGGTACAGTTAATTTCTTCATGATCCAATCATCGGATCTCTAAACCAAATTACGGGACGACCCTTGATGTACCATCTTTCCAATAAAAAAAGGATTATTGAAATTGGTTCACGTGGTCAAAAGTTATGTATTCCGGCGTATTGATAACCTCCTCTTTTTTTGAAGTCGGTTAAAAGTGTTTGAGTTCTGTTAATCTTATGTAAATAAAGTGCAGTTTATGGATTTTAAAACGTTTATTTACTTATTACATACTGTACATAAAACTTGCATGAATGTATTTTAAAGAGCATTTTATCTGAAGCAAATTTTCAGTATTTTCCGGTGATATATATTCAGAAATATAAACCCCCCCTAAAATATATTCCTGGGTGCGCCCCTGCTCTGAGGTACCACCTTTCCTTAAAAAAAAAGAATTGCAGAAATCGGTTAACGTGGTCCAAAGTTATGCGGTAAAATACATAAAAAAATGTTCCGACTTTTGATAACCTCCTCCTTTTTTGAAGTCGGTTAAAAAAGGAGTGAAAAACTCATAACTAAACTCTAGCGTGTAGAACCGACTGTCTTGATAATGAGAATACATCATCCGCTGAACCAGACCGAAATTCGGATGAATGCAGTAAAGATATACTTACTACTATTAAGGATTTAAACTTAAGTAACAAAACAAAACGTGATATTCATGAACAGGGAACGGATTTTTACGACCTAAAAACCTATAAAAAAGGCAAAATAAAGTAACGAAATAGGCTGGAAAAGGCAAAATAAAATAGCGAAAAAGGCAGGAAAAGGCACTAGGTATTGTAAAAAAGGCAAAATAAAACAGCGAAAAAGGCAGGAAAAGGCAACAAAAAAAGGTATTGCAAAAAAAGCAAAATAAGGCACTAAAAAAGACAGAAAATACGAAGAACAATCAAAAAATATATTTATTTTAGAAATGTTTATATTATAAGTAAAAAGAGAAAAACTATGAACTAGTTTCATTTTATGAAAAATTTGTACTTTGAATCTTTGACTATTTTATCCTTTCGAGTTTTTAACTCACGTGTGTCAAGTTAGCACTACACTTTTCGAAATTGGAAAAGTTAACTACGGCATTAATTGTAGTGTTTTTGTTGTAAATTTGTTGTGGAAAGAAAAAACTTGTAGCTCTCGTTTTTTAAGAAAAAATGGTATGTAGTGCTAACTTGACACCATACACCTAGTCGATAGAGTGGAGATATCGAATATGTTACAACGGCATTAATTGTAGCTTTTAACTTTAAAATTTGTTGTGGAAAGAAAAAATTTGTAGCTCTCGTTTTTTAAGGAAAAATGGTATGTAGTGCTAACTTGACTAGGTGTATGTAGTCGATAGAATTGAGATAT